AGAGTGCCTCTACTAACCATTGGCCCTTGGTGAAAACATTTTGAATGTACCCCCCCAAAATCTTGTTAGCCTATTAAATTTGTTGGCAAGTTCCCAAAAGGAGCTTATTGCAACATAAAGATTTTTTTTTCTAGCCTTGTTATTGGCTATATCTGCCATTCTTAAAAACAATGTCAAGACTTAACTTTCTTGTTAGTCGTGCAAAAGACGAATAACTTTATATTCCCACCAGACATTAAATGTTGTAGACAGTAGATTCAAATGATGGCCATTCATTCCAGAAATACAGTGTCGTCTGTGGGCCAGGAACTGTGCTAGGAGTTAGGTCTTTGGATATAAAAGAAAAGATACTCGTTTTTCCCCTTATCAAATGTATCTTCTAATGGGAGAGACAGCTATCAAACAGGTAAATATGTAAATTGCAAGTTTAGAAAAGTGCTGTGAAGCAAATAAGAAAAGGACCCCATGAAGGAAACAAAAAGGATCCTATGAAGGAAATGAAAAGGACCCTATGACAGAATGATCTAGGTTAGAGGACTCCACTAAGAGATGGTAGTTAAGAAATGTTAAAATTGTATTATTGTATAAAATAGTTAATAGTTCTTGAGTGTATGTGTTAGGCACGATTTTAATCACTTTGCCTGTAACTGTGTAGTTATTAAAAGATGGTGAAACTTTGTGAGGTCAAGAAAGTAGCCCAGGGCGATGAAATATTAAGTAGTCAAGTCGGAGTCAAACCCAGGCCACCTGGTTCTAGGGTCCATACTTTTTACCACTACACTGGAAAGAAGCCCTTTAAGAAGAAGGCCTTTTTGAAGAGACGACTCTGGAGCTGCAGGGTGGACAATGTTGATGTTTTTGTCTGTGTTCAGGTATGATTTCCAGGTGGTCTTGTTTTTGTCTTGACATCATGGAGAGTGACCTTCTCTGAGATTGTGTTCTGTGAGATTGTGTATGTCCAAATGAGAACACCAAGGCCTGGCTGTCATGCCAGGCCCATTCCTGACCAGCAGGAACTGTTTTGCTCTCTCTCAGCCCCCATTATGTAGCTATCGTGCTACATGTGCGGTGGGCCCTGCCTCAGGAACTTGTCGTTGAGGGGAGATGTGCACACGGAGGAGTAGGATGGACAGTTGAGTGTGCTGTGAGCAGGGTACATTGAGATGTGTACACAGGGTGTGGAGGGCTCCCAGAGCAGGGCTACTGTCAATGCAGGCTTCCAGGAGAAGCGCACGTCCTCACTGAGGACTAGACGGTGTCCATGCACCCATGTGGAGGGTGGGCTTTCTAAGCTGACGGGCAGTGAGTGCAAAGGCCTGGAAAGAACGTGCAGGGCTGCCAAGAAGCTGCAAGCAGATAAGTCTGCCTGGAGCTGGAAGTGTGGGTGTGAGTGGAGAAGGGGTTTGGGTAGAGGATGGGAGGGATGGGACCGCGGGAGGGAGGAAGAGGTGAGACTGGAATGGTAAGATGGGTCTGCATGCTCTCACCATTGTGATCAAGAAATGAATTCCTGAGTCCTCCCTCTCTGCACAGGGCAAAGCTTTTCATAGGAATCACGGAGTTGAATCTTCACAATGGCTAGAAGAGGCTTAAGGGTCTCAGTTTCTTGAATAACGTGTAGTAAAGCCATCATCTTCTATTCTCCGGCATGAGTTTTTGGGAAACTAACAGAAGGATTTTAAGAGATGTGTATTTTTAATTACTTTTGCTTCAATGTGGCAACTGGACTGGAGGGGGGAGAGACAGGAGGAAAGAAACATAAGTTGGGAGACTGTCCTGTTGATCCAGGTGAGAGATGGTGCAGGAGACATTTTCAGGACAGGTACCTAGACCCCAGCAGTTTCCTCTTTTCTGGAAGCAGTGCCAATACTATGTGACCTTGTAATGCCCTCTCAACCCTTTGACTGACTATAGTTGGTTCCTAGTTGGCACCTGATACAATCTGGGCAGTCAGAGCCCTTCTCTGGGACTTTTGGATTTGGGAACAGTGAATAGTCTGCTTTCTGTAGTTTTAGAAACTGTTTGATTTGGTGCTAGTTGTTGACAGCCATATCCCCATTTGTGTAGAAGTTAGTCTATGAAAGTAGATTAAACCAATAGAGAATGAGAATTCTTCTGGCCTTTGAGGTCCAGTGGCACCCACCTTTCCCACAGTATGGTTATGGGAAGTAAACCAGTATCCTTAAAATTTCTGTTTGCTTAAGGTACTTTAAGTTTGTCTCTTGCACTGCTAGGCATTTTAATTAGTGTAGACGGCGAAGGCCCAAAACTAAGGTACTGAGAGTGGGCTTGGCCGATCTCAGACATGAGGAGTCAAACTGGACAGAAAGTGGTAACTGTTGTACTCTGGAGAGAGAAGTAGGTGCTTTGGTAGAGTGGATATGAGAGTTCAAAATGGAGGAAGCAAATTGAGCCAAGACAGATGTGTGGAGCCGCATGGCAGGTGGGGGCAGCTATGAGTGCTTCAGCTTAGCCGGTCTCCACGATGGCTGGACTGGTTAAAAAAAAGAGGGCAGGTCGAGCCAGCTCCTAGATGCCTCCTGACTCCGTATTAGCCTTGATCCTATAAGAAGTGGACGTAAATGATGGTGTCGGATGCTGGGGATGACTGTTAACACAAAGCTCTTACTGGCTTCCAGTGACAAAAGTGTCACGTTCTAGAAGTGTAGGAAATGAATGTTCTAAAAATAAAAATTATATTCATTCCATTTTAGTATTTAAAAATGTGTATATTTTAAACAGTTGAGGCTCTTTATATAAATTTTTTAGTTAATTTTTTTCTCCCAGTTAATACTTTGCAAGCATTTTTCTGTCAGTACATATTTTAGAAACATTTTGATGACTGTATATTATTCCACTGTGTGAATATCATAATTTATGTAATCCCCCAATCTCTAAATTTTTTGTTCTTATGAACAAAATTATGTTGTTTTTAAAATCTTTGTCCATGTTTCTTGTGGTTTTTAGAATTGATTTCTAGAATGAAGTTACTGGATCAAATAATATAACTTTTTCTGAGGATTTTGTAAAAGTCAGGTATTATTGAAGTATAATTTACATATACTATAATTTACTCTTTTTAGTGTTTAGTTTTGACAAAGGCATATAATTTTGTGTAACTACCACCACAGTCAGGATATACAACATTCCATGAACTCCCCAAATTCTCTTATACCCATCGTAGTCATCTCATTCACCCCCTGAAACCCTGACAGCCTCTGGTCTGTTTTCTATCTGTATTGTTATTCTTTTCTAGAATTTTTTTTCCCCCACAATCATATAGTGCAATAGTTCCTATCGTCTGGCCCCCAAAGATAGGCTTCCATTCCACATGCAAACCATATTCACCCCCAAGGCCTCCCAAAGTCTGAACACATTACAACATCAACTCAAGAGTCCAAAATCTTATTTGAATCTTGTCAGCTCAGAAGTTCTAATTCTCATCATCGAAATCAGGTGTGAGTGAGGCTGTGAGCATAGCCCATCCTATAGGAACAGGCACAATTCCTATTCATCTGCGAACCTATGAAACCCAAGAAAAAAGTTATGTGCCATAAGATGCAATGAGAGGCCAGGCAGGGGGTACCAGGTGTAGACATTCCTGTACAAGAGGGGAAATGGAAGGAAAAAAGGAGTCACCAGTGCCAAGCGATTTTGTTAACTGAGCAAAATTTTTTAATTTTGGTGAACTCTAATTTTTATCATTTTTGTTTTTTAAAGGACCGTGCTTTTAGTTTTATATCAAAGAAATCTTTGCTGAATCCAAAATAGTCTGTTTTCTTCTAGAAGTTTTGTGCTTTTTGATGTAACATTTAGGTCAATTTTGTGTTAGATATGTATTTAGTGCAAGGTATGTGTTGAGGTTTGTTTATTTATTTATTTGTATTTGGATGTCCAATTGACTAAAACAAAGTTCCTACTCTTCCGGAACTTGCATTCTACTTGTGATAGATGGACGGTCAACACACAGTGTGTTCTATTGCTGATGGTGGTAAGTGCCCTGGTGAAGACAAAGCAGCGCAGGGGTTGGGAGTACAGTGTGTGTGAGGTTGTTACTATTTTACATGACATGGTCAGGTTAGACTTTCCTAATGAAGTGACTGCAGGAAGTGAGGGGGTGGCGATGTGCATATCTGGTGGGAGCAAGTTGAGGCAGACAGAAGGGCCAGTGGGGCCCAGTGCTGGGCGTGGGTGAGGAGGAATGCTGGGAGATGAGGTCACAAGCGTAACTCCCAGTCACTTAGACTGAGGTTGAACATTGGATTGTACCTTGAGTGCTTTGAGAAGCCATTGGAGGGCTTTGAGCAAGCAGGGACGTCACCTGACTCAGCTCTGCTCACCGTGTGGTTCTTCAGGCAGCGGCTGCACAGCAGCCCTGGGAGCTGCTGTCAGAATCTCTGAGGGCAGGGCCCAGGCATCTGTGTTTTACAAGGTCTCTAGGGGATTCGGATGCTATGGTTTAAGAAGCTCTGGTCCACCCAGGGTTTTCAGGTCGCTGGCTGCCTGTGGAGGAGGGGCTGTGGGGCAGGCGAAATGGACGTAGGGGGAGCAGTCGGGGTCTGGGTGAGACATCACGGTGGTGATGGCGGCGGTGAGTAGTAATCAGATGTGAAGTATGTCTTATAGGAAGAACCCAAAGGATTTGCTAAGAGAATGAATGTAGAGTGTAAGAGGACGAGGTACGTCACAGAGAATTCCGAGGTTGGGCCTTGGAAGAATGGAGTGGAGCTGCCATTTCCCGGGGCGGAGAAGACAGCCGTGGGAGCAGTGGCAGCGGGAGCAATGGAGCGCTTTCTTTTATTTGGGGGGCAAGGCTTGGAGTTAAGATGGAGACGAGTTTGAGTATTAGAAAGGGTGGTGGGCATTTTGACAGCTGAGCTGGGGCTTGGTTTTCACTCCTGCCAGTGGAGGCGTAGTTGTATAAATTAAGGTGATTTTGTTGTTGTTGTTGTTGTTTTTCCCTCATCACAAATTATGTGTATTTCATCTGCTTTTAACAGGCATTGGAATAAAGATAACTACAGTGTTCTGTGAAAATGTCAGTTCTGATATCACAGAGTGTAATAAATTATGTAGAAGAAGAAAACATTCCTGCTCTGAAAGCTCTTCTTGAAAAATGCAAAGATGTAGATGAGAGAAATGAGGTAAGACCAAGTTTCTAAAACTAAATTCCTTTCGCAAACCCTTGTTCACCACTTACTATGTAGAAGGCACTGTGCTAAGTAAGGATAATGGTGAGTAAGTAAGAAATATGCAGTTCTCAACTTTGGTAATATTGTTCTAAGAAACGACAATTTCTTATAGTTAAAAGTACTTTAAAGTCCACATTTTTGGAATACATTTGAACTTATATAAATGATTGCTTATTGAATTTAGGTTTATGATTGACTTTTTTGCTAGTAGGTTTTTGTATGAATGTTTTAATGGACAAATATGTATTTGTTTTATAAAACTTAAGAAAAATAATTTTGTTTCTTGAAACTGTATTTTCAATGTAGTGTAAATTTTTGCCAGTGGATAAGATGAATGAGAAGTGCTTTTAGTTTTACACATATACAGAGGAGGCCAAAAAAATGTATACACATTTTAAGAAAGGAAAAAAGTGTATTAAAATTGTAATACTTAATATATACTGATAACAAAAGATGAATACAAGCTGTGTATACATTTTTTTGGCACCTCTAGTATATGTATGTGTATGTGTGTGAACTTTTTTCCCTTTAGTCCTGATACTACATCTTATATGTATTATTATTATTATTATTGTTATTATTTTTAAAGATTTTATTGTGAATTGGGGGGATGGGAACAGAGCTGGGGAATATGGGAAGGGGAACAGACAAGTTGCTGTCCCCTTGTTCTTCAGTCTAGTTGTGGAGGACGTCGCCTCACTGGCCCAAGTTGGCACCATCACTGCGCTCTTCCCGGCCGAGGCAGACCAGTCGCCGACCTCTGGACGGGGCTGCTCACGGCAGCTTGAGGGCCGCTCACGCTGGCTGCTGGCCACACACAGCAGCCCATGGCAACCCACCGCCACAGGGGCTGCAGCCTACGCCGTCGCCGGCGGCTCATGGCAGCCCAGCTCCAGGTTGAGCTGTTGTTCAGCATCCTAGCTGTAGAGGGCAGTGTCACTGGCCCTCATATGTGGGATCCGAACCGGGGCCCTCTGGCGTCCCAAGCCAGCTCCTAACCATCGTGCCACTCGACCGGCCCTTACATGTATTATTAAAACCACATTCTCTATCACATTCTAACTGTATTGTTAGAGAATTTAGTTACCATCGGTATTCTAAGATTTTTATATATATTGTGGTAATTACTTTTCAGATCCTAGTGTCATTTATATTTACTTATTTTGAATGGAATTGCAGTGATGAAAACAGATTACTAATGCTGTGGTCAAAACAAAGTTTTATTTTCTCTTTGACTTTTACATTATTAATAAACCGAAAGCATTTCTAAATTAAAGAAATACGGTAAACGTTGCTTCACATCCCGTCATGACAGTGTAAGTGTGGTATATTTAGCTGGTATTTCAGTGAAAGGACAGCATCTTCACAAGTTCTCTGTGTCTTGTACATTCTCTAGTGTGGCCAGACTCCACTGATGATAGCTGCTGAACAGGGCAACCTGGAAATAGTGAAAGAATTAATTAAGAATGGAGCTAATTGCAACCTGGAAGATCTGGTATATATAGAAATAATTTACTCATTCGTCTTTCTTTTCCTTAACTTGGCTGTGTCTTTGTTTTTAAGAGCTGATTCAAAAATAATAGGTTGCACACTGTACTTTCAGTTATATAACAACTTTGCTCAATATGATATGCTCAGTCAAGTTTTTTAAAAGGGTAATAGAGAAATTTTTACTTTGAATGAAATTTCTCAGCATTTCATGATTTTTACATACAGAAGGCGCTGGCTGTATAGGAACGTATACAATTAACACTTTGTAAGCGGACATTTTCCCGCCAAATCGCGTCGTAACAAAAATGTCTCTATACCTGCGTTAACTCCCGCGCTTTGGTATCACATTGTTTGTGGGAAACGAGTAAACTCGTCATAGCGCTTTAACTCAGGTATAGAGACCTCTTTGTTACGATGCGATTTGGCGGGAAAATGCCCGCTTACAAAGTGGTATAAAAAGCGCTATGACGAGTTTACTCGTTTCCCACAAACAATGTGTTAAATGTCTGCCTAGAAAATCTCCATGTGTAAGTCACACTGCTAAGTAACTCCCCATAATGGTCTCTTGTTATTATAAATATCATCACATATGATGATAGCTAGAGAGATGTGGTCCCTTCTGATGATATCACTTCTGAGGATACATCACTGTTCCGAGAGGCTCTCATTTCCTCCGACTGTCTGTTTCCCAGGAATTGTTTTTCAGGGTCACACAGCTGGTTTTTTTTAATTGATGATTTTAAAGGCATGATCATTTGAATTACGTTACACTCATGAATAAAAGCTAGGATAGGATCCTGTAGCCTTTATTTAAAAAATAAAAGAGAATAGCTCTTTCTTTATCTTGCACTTTCTAAACTCATCATATGGGATCGCTTTAGTTTGATAGCCTATGAATGAAATGTGCTCTTAAATCTGATTCCAGTCTTTAATTTCAATTTATAGTAATTGCCAGACACAAGGATTAGTTCTGAGTTTTTGATAGTCATCTTTTTTCCTTAAAAAAAAACCAAACACAGTGTGTAGTTAGAAGTCCAGTGAAAAGTCTGAACAAGCTGTTGTGAAACCATTTCTACACCATTGTAGCAATACAAGTAGACAGTAAGTTCTCTTACCAGAGCTTATGCTTCACTGTTAGAATAGTTTAGAGTGGGTTAGACCATGTCAGTTTGGTATGATCATTTGGTATGTACGTTCGAATTTATTTTTCCTCATTTTGAAATGTTATTTTGGTGTTGAAATGGTAACGTTTGTGTCTGTGTTCAAGGATAACTGGACAGCACTTATATCGGCATCCAAGGAGGGGCATGTGCTGGTCGTGGAAGAGCTACTCAAGTGTGGGGCTGACCTGGAGCACCGTGACATGGTATGGACAGCCTGTGTGACGTGTTCTCAATTAGCTGGAATCTTAGTAACCAAAATAGAGACGTGTGAGAGCTTGTGCTTTCATGTGTGAGGGGATCTTACAATGATGTTTTTAGGATTTGGGGTTGGGCATTGAAATGACCCTCAAGAAAGTTTTAAAACCCAGGTGATATATAATATACCTCTTTTAGAATATTGTTAGTCATCATTTTCAGTTTGTTTTAGAGGTCAAATCTGATAGATTTTTAAAAACAACTCATTACCCTTTAATATGTCAGTGTTTTAGAACTTATGAGAGAATTGTTTCCCTTTAAGAAGGACATAGTATAATTTAAAAAATAATTCAGTTGTACTCATATCAAGTGTTTTCTCCGACCACAATGCTATGAAACTAGAAATCAATTACAAGAAGAAATCCGTAAAGCTCACAAATGCATGGAGGCGAAATAACATGCTACTAAATAGTGAGTGGGTCAAAAATGAGATCAAGGAGGAAATAAAAAGATACCTTGAGACAAATGAAAATGAAAACACCACAACCCAAAATATCTGGGATGCAGCGAAAGCAGTCCTAGGAGGGAAATTCATAGCAGTGCAGGCCTACATAAAGAAGCAAGAAAAATTTCAAATAAACAGGTTATTCTTACACCTCAGGGAGCTGGAAAAAGAACAGCAAAATAAGCCCAAAGGGAGCACAAGGAAGGAGATAATAAAGACCAGAGTGGAAATAAACGAAATAGAGACCAGAAAAACAATACAAAAGATCAACGAAACCAAGAGCTGGTTTTTTGAGAAGATAAAATTGACAAGCCCCTAGCTAGACTCATCAAAAGAAAAAGAAAGAGGGCTCAAATTAGTAAAATCAGAAATGAAAGAGACAAAGTAACAACAGCCTCCTCAGAAATACAAAAAATCTTAAGAAATTACTATGAGCAATTATATGCCAACAAATTTGACAATCTGGCAGAAATGGATAATTTCCTAGAAGCATACAACCTTCCAAAGCTAACTCAAGAAGAAACAGAAAATCTGAATAAACTGATTACCACCAAGGAAATTGAATCAGTAATCAACAAGCTCCCAA